GGCAATGAAGTCATTGTGGTAGTTCATTATGATAATGTCACCATGATGATATCATATGTTTGGGGAAGTCCTAGGAAGCTACTTCCTTGGGTTTCACATGATCCTACACTCCCTCACACACTAGAGCATATGAATTATACTCTCTCCGTCCCAAAATGAAGCTTACAGTTCAACTTCATGGAATTTAAGAAAATTGTTGAAGTGTTAAAAAAAATGTGGTTGAAATGTGTGTAAAAGAGAAGGAGAAACATTGTGATCCACATATATTTCATTCTTTAATGAAAAATACTAGGATAACCCTGTAAAAAGGTGCAAACTTTACTTTAGGATAACCCAGTAAGGAAAGCTTAAACTTGAGAATTTGAGATAGAGGGACTATATCCAGAGTAAAAGAACGGGCACATAACTAGCACAAATAGTATATTAATAATTCACTCCATCTATAATGGAACACTTATTATTTTTAATCGAAAGCTGTAATCCTTTACTTCCGAAATTCTAAATGTTTGGAGAGAATTAAAGAAAACAGAGTTATGAGGGCAATATTTTCAAAAAATGGAAGTGTGAATGAAGAAAGTTTATTTCGAGACAACAAAACAAAAGAAAATTACAAGTTTACAGGGAACGATACAATAACGAAAGGAGCATGTATTAGCCCAAGCATCTTAGTACCTTTTGATGGCTTTGACGAAATCAGCAGCGGAAGGCTGCCGCATGCGCTCGAGGAAGTCATGCCAAGTCAGAGGCGCCGTCGACGATCCAAAGATGTCCGCGTTCTCCATCGTCCGTCGGAGCTCCGATCAGATCGACGGCTAAAGTTCCGTCGGAGCAAGTTAGGGAACGAAAGTGAAAGAACAAAAATGTTTGTTGAACAAGTACTCCGTTCTCTCCAAAATACTTGTTGAACCAAAATGATTTGTGAAGGAGGGATATGAAGAGTTTTATAAATTTTTGACGAAATGGGAGTGATATATTTTTATTATAAAATAGGAAAAAATTATTTTAAATAATCTTTTTTATTTTTGTATTCTTTCAAAAATAATCTCATTTTTCACTATCACCAGAAATAATCCACATTTTCACATGTCTGCGAGTTTTATGCCGTTATTAAAAAGCTAACGGTCACTTAACACAATTTTTAAAAAATGACTATTTTTGCAAATAAATGAAAAGTGAAATTATTTTAGGTAAAATGTCTTTTTTTCGTTTTAAAATTTTTAACATTAAATTTAAATATATTTTTATAAATGTTTTTATAAATAATACTCTATCAAATTTAAGTGTTTTTTAGAGTGAAACTAATTATTTTTTCAATGGTCGATAATCTCAAAATAATTTAACAATATATTGTTCTACATAATGGAGCTACTTTATTATTTCATAACTCACTATATTTTTTTGTAAGTTGTAATTATTTATCTTGAACGATACTTCGAATTATTTCTTGATACTATACAATTAATTTTTTTAAACTGTACTACAAAACTTGTAAATATTTTTGAGAATTCTATATAAATGTTTTTTTGCAAAACAACATTACAACAGTTGTGAAATTAACACAATATTTTTTCTTTTGAAAGTAACTTTTATTTTTATAACTCACTATATTATTTGTTGTATTGGATTTCTTTTCATGAACAACATTCTGAAATGTTTATTGATAATCTTCTGTTACCGATATTATTTTTTTGAAAATAGAACTTCTCAACTTGTGATTTTTTTCAATAATTCACTACAAATGTTTTCTCCAAAATAATAATTTAAAAGTTGTGAAAAATGGCACAATATTTTTTTCTCCAAAGCGGCACTAATTACTTTTATAACTCAATACAATTTTTTTTGTATTGCAATTTCTTTCTCGAGAGATAATTTGAAGTTTTTTCAATAATCCAATAGTATATTTCCCTCTGAACATAAAAAAAATTTAAATCGTTATATTTTTAAAAAAACTTAGACAAATCTATGACAAGAGTGTACTGTTATATTTTTAAAAACATAATTTTAAAATTAAAATTAAAAAAAGAAAAAAAGTAAATTTGCCTAAAAAATCCCACATTTCATTTATTTATGAAAACAAACATTTTCAAAAAATTGTGTTAAGTGACGGTTAGCTTTTTAACGGCGGCCCAAACTCGCATGCATGTGGAAAGATCGAATTATTTGCGGTGACAGTGAAAAGTGGGTTATTTTTAAAAAAAAATGTGAAAGGTGGGATTATTTAAGATAATTTTTCCTAAAAAATAATATATGTACTATGACAATGTGGTACCATATTAATATTCTATAGCATTTTTTTAAATATTATATACTGACATTGTAAGTTTGTAACTTCTATTTTTAAAATAAAAACATGAATGTCTTATTTTTTGTCAAAAAATGAATGTCTTATTTTAATACTTTCTCGATATTGTACTCATATTTAAAATTTTCTCCCTCTTAAATTTTATGAATTAATAATACAGCAAATTTCATAATTAATCATTAAAAATTAATAGTTTTTCATATTTAGTTCTCTATTATCAATTATTATGTTTGTGGTCGTTTATTTATGTGTATCTTTTCTTAGTTAGTTCTTTGCTTGACATCACATATTAGTGTTGAATTTAGAGCAAAGCGTGTAATTTGATACCAAATCTATGTCCGACCATGTATTCTTATGTCGTACAATAATGACTATGGCTGCACGCTTGGATTCTGACCAGCGACGTCTGTTGTGGACTATGGTTACAATGGACGGCGGCTTTAGTGAATAGACAACGAATCTGCAGCAAGATCTGGCATCGATTATGGCAAAAAAGGATGAAGGCCCCATGTGAAATTTCACTTTTAGTTGCCAGTTTAACATCAACACGACATAAGTTCAAACAAAAATTGTCAGTGTAAAGGTACCCATAAATGAAGGACTATGAACTTAATATTTGATAATAAAGGACTAAATATAGAAAAGTCCAATTTTAAATGATCAATTAGAGAACTTATGCAAAATAATATGAGTTATGAAATCTGAAATAGAAGTGTTGGGAGAGATTCAAAAGCATACTCACTGATTTTTAGTAATAGATGAGCATTACCCGTAACCAAGAATGAACGACAACGTGTAGACAGAGATGCTGGGCTGTATGAAGGTGTCGATGGTTGATGGAGATGCAAACCCCGGACTGATATCTCATAAACCAAAAGATATTGAAACTTTATTTAAGGGAATTTTAATATCTCGGAATAACAAATCTGAATTTTGTTAGCTGCCAAAAACATTGTTTGGCTAATTACTTTTTTACTTGGCTTTTTGATATCTCGGAATAACGATCAGCCAACTCATCCTGCCGGTCAAACCAGCTAAATTAAACAACTATTTAGGATCGTCGATGCAATTCAAATAGCCAACGGCAAACCAGCTAAATTAAACAACTATTTAGGATCGTCGATGCAATTCAAATAGCCAACGGCTGACAGCCAACATCCAAACAAGGCCTAAAAATGAATATTTTATTGATTCAAAATGAATATCTTGTTGATTTAAAAATGAATAATTGTCTAATGTATCTATCTCTAATTATAGTCGGGTGTACATAGATATTCTGAAAATCAATTCATGTACTGAGCATACGACTTTGGCCTAAAGCTTAGATTGTGTCAGTGGGCGTTGCACACTTAGAGACAATGAGTGCTAAAGGGATAAGACTCCATTTGCAAGTATCATGTGCAAACTCCATTTTTTACCATCAATCTTTGACTAAAGTCTAATGTACCTCCTATTACAGTGGAGGATTACTTGTTTACTGCATTATCTCTCTCATCCACATTAGTGTCACATCAGATTTTACTAACTTTATACTATTCTGGATGCAAGTGGAGGTGTACATACGCCAATTCGCCAACTTAATACAACTTAATACAACTATTTTTTAAATAATTAGAAATACAATGGCACTCATTAATTTAAAATGACTTTAAATTACAAACTGGAAACAACATAACACATTACAAAACTAAATAGAAAATAACATACAAAAAATAAATCCTTTTACTTTTTTGTAGAGAGTAAAAATAAGAATTAAACTAATACGGAGTATTATACAGTTTAAATTGATTTTAAAATCTACGAACAAGAGTAAAAATTAATTAAAAGATAGAAATCATAAGTAAAAAAAATTTAAAAAAATAAGATGGCACTCTAAATTAAATTGATATTAGAGTATATATAGAAAATAACACATGTCTTATACTTGGTATTAAACAAAGAATAATATACAAAATCAAATTCATTTAATTTTTGTTAAAAGTAAAAATTAGATTGAGAGAGAGAGAAGTTAAAAATGGATGTGAAAGAAATATATGTTTGTGTGTTTATATATTTTGTAATTATTGAATAAATATATTTTTTAAAAATATTCCTCACTATACATCGAGAGACGGCAGAGAGAGAGATGCGGTATGATTGACAAACACATACATTCTCTTACCGATTTTTAGTGGTACCAAAAGACAAGGAATAATGTTAGCCTCTTTGCCAAAAAGTTACATAAGCTATTTTTGGTACCATCACTTTACTTCCTCCATACCGAACACCTTTAGTGACCTCTTGCCAGGCCTAAGGGTCCATTGGTGGGGATGAGGCTCATTCTCTGAAGAGTCGTTAACCAAATACAATTGATAAAATAGACTTGTAGTGATTTTGAGATCATGGCTAATGTGACCATTTAAATCACTTATGACTCCATGAACAATGTTAGAATTACACCAAAGGTGTACCTCATTTGTCCACCAACCTTTTCTCCACAATCCATTTTATTTTATTTTTATTTATTTATTTATTTTTGAATCTCTTACCCATTTATATGGACAAGGAAGGGGTAGGAATAAATTTTCCATAACTCAACTCAGTTGATGAGAATTAATCACTGAGTTCGGAACATGGTTTTAACAAAAAAAAAAACGGAGTAGAAGAGTCGTTAGAAAAGTACTGCCTTACAGTTCACACCGTACAACACGCGGAAAGACGTAGAAAAACCCATCTCTCGTCTTTCAGCATTAGGGAAGTCCACATTTCGCTTTACCTTCAAACAGGTATTGCCATTGTTCATTTTCGCAGTGAAGATCCTGCCATCTCTCTTCTTCGGGTTTTAAATCTGATGATTTGAATTTCCATGTCCGAGTTTGGATAATCTCTGTTGTGGATTTCATATCGATTTCATTGCGAGAAACAGAGCGATTTTGAGGGTTTTATTGATCCGGACTCTTTCTGTTTTATCGTAGTTGATTTCTGGACTTCGAAGTTCTTTTGCTCGTGTCCGGTTTTAGCTCTTCAATTAGCGAATTCAATACACTCGGTAACTGTGAATAATCGACCTGGATTGTACAGGTTATCTACCTGTTTGTGATTTTGGGATCATTTGAGTTCTTGTATGTATTTGAGCTGAGCTGTATGTTTCAATGGGAGAGATAAAATGCCTGAATTTGTATGGATTGGCGTCTTAATAGGGAGATCAAAGGTGTGGAAGTTTAAAGAAGGTTAAAGATTTGACAAGAAATGGCAAACAGTGCGGTGGATTGTGCTGAGAGAGCCACGAGCGACATGCTGATTGGTCCTGACTGGGCAATTAACATCGAGCTGTGTGATATCATTAACATGAACCCTGGGTATGCTCTTAAAAACTTATAATTAATATTTCAGCTACTAGTGGTTGGAATTTCTGGCGATGGACAAACTTATCTCGGTTACATGGTACTTGCTTTTTCTTAGTTGCTTCTGAAGTTGCACCTGCCTTCATACTCTAAGGACAATTTGCAATAGCAGACTACTTTTTAAAATGTGGCCCAAACTCTATTTAAATATAGTTTTTCAAAAATAAGAACTAAAATCTGGGATAAAAAAATTCTAGTAGAAAATATTGCTTAAGCTTTAACTGTGCTTCATTGCATTGTATAATGAGGCGTCTCTTTCAATCCCATATTGTGTAAGCCTCACCATTGCCCCATTTTAAGGATAGCCTCATTGCACATTTCTAGTAAAAATTGCTTAGTCACATTTTGTGATGTAGCCTTAAGACACAATCACCAACATTGTTTCTAACTTCTCTTTTTCTACAACTTTGCATTTAGCCTTTCTTTGAACTTATCAACCAGTATGATATATACTGCTTTGCTTTTTGTTCTCTAGATGTTACCCCCTTGGTTTGCGATAATATAAATTCTCTTAAAAGAACAGGCATAAATAGAGTTGTAAAGCATTACATGAGATTGTATAAAACTTGGGCATTACATCATTATTAAGAGACCATAGCGATAGTATGGAATAATCTAAAAGTTTAAGTGAACTCCGTTATAATGCAAACCTGATTTGATGCTAAGTTATAAATATATACTCTGTATATGGTTGGCACCATAGTGTAAAAGTGGGCAGGTGCATAGGCGAGAGCATCTTGGGGTTAGGCTGGAGAGAAGTGGAGGAGGTGGAGTTATGTGGTGCCTAAGGGCTTGTTCTTTTCGTCTTATCTAATCGGTTTGGATCAAAATTTATTATGGTCTGATATGTTCAATCTAAATCTCTTTGGTATGATCTAATTACAATTGAAATTGTATATGTTTTCGACCTAGTCTCATTTGAATTTTTTTGAATCTTTCTGCTCTGTTCTGAATTTTTCTAATCTGATTCCAACAAGAATAAGTAATAAGAATAAGTCAAAGAGAATAAGGCCTAAGTGAGGAAAATGACCAAACTAGCAAGGACATCTGAGTACCTAGAAAAGATAGAGTAGACTGAAATATTTACAACAATGGGTGCCACACTTTGTAATTTCATTTATTTGAATACTTTGAACGATTTGTTCTCTTTTGACAGCATGGACCAAGTTGTTTGCTTTGCATTATAAACTATTGTCCAACTTCGATGATTTGCAGTTTTATAGCTTTTAGCTCATCTTTGTATTATACTCCTTTCTCCCTTTGGATTCTTGACACAGAAGATTTCACAGAGTTTCAGGCAAATGTGAGAATGTTAGTTTCTTTCCAAATTTTCCCTTGACAATATGATTACTTTAAGTAAGGTGTGTGAGATGCTAGAGATGATGTGATAGGTGTACAGAAGGGTAAAAAAGACTTTTGAATCATTAATAATTCTAAATTTGGAAGTGTAAAGAATCCAATGAGACAACCAAAATGGCAAGTGTAAAGAATCCAAAGGGACGGATGGATTAAATCTAATCGAAATAGTTTCTCAGTTTATTAAGGTAAGAGTGCGTACATATTGACCTCCAAATGCAACTGAGTCTGGATCATATTGGGTTGTTGTAATAACTTGTTTTATTCTTTTAAAATACAGGCAAGCGAAGGATGCACTCAAGATTATCAAGAAACGTCTTGGGAGTAAAAACCCTAAAATACAACTCCTTGCCTTATTTGTAAGTATAGTTGTTTATAAGATCTCTTTGACATACGCTTACATAATAATGTTGATGGTATGTTTGTCCTTGAGCAAAAATACATCAAGCTACCAACACATTTGCTAATTGATACTCTTTATGAGATTTTAATGTCCTGTATGTGTAATGCCACACGCAGAATTAACACAAAAAGAGACACAATTACTTTGGAATATTTGTTCTTAGTTTCCTTTTGAATCTTTAATTAATTTTTGTTGTACACTAATTGCTCCATTTCCCTTTTATGATCAAATGATGGTATTGATTTTGGTAGGATTGAAAATGATATCTCCTTACCTTTTTAATTGTGATGTGATAGTTGTACCCCCATCTAAATAAGGGGCATTGGCAATGGATCTGAAATAAAATTTTTTGACAATGTTTAAGCTTCGTGTATTTAATAGACAAAATTAAAATGACACATTAAAATATCATTGCTTCTTAGTTCTTACTTTGTATAAAGTTTTGGTAAGTAAATGAAACAATACATCAAGGGTCTAACAGAAACCTCCTCCGAGTTTTTTACTCCCTCCGTCCCTTTTAAATCTTCCCGCTTCCCTAATTTACCAACTTTCCCCACTTCAAATGACTACATTACCCTTCATATTTATTCCTACCCAACCCATCATAAATACTACCCCACCTACCCACCAACCGAATTTCATCCCGCATTCCCACCATCCCCATTCCTTTGTCACCTCCCAGACCATGCATCTTCTTCCTCACACCTCCAAACCCCCCATCTCTCTTCTCTCCTTCGGCCTTTTTCAATTAGATCTGGAGATCCATCTCCAAAAAAAGTCTCCCCCCTTCTTCCTCAACCGACCCGACCCCCAGATTTCCCCTTCTCTTTATTCTTCTTCGACAATCTCCCCCTCCCCTTCTTTAGATATGGAACTCCGGCACATCTTCAGATTTGGATTGCCCCTCCTGATTTCTCTCAACCCTGCATCCAGTGACCGAAAAACAGAAAGTGCAGCAACAAATTAGAAGGGGCAGCGAAAGCGGTTATGGAGGGATGTGGCGGCGATTGACGTGAGGCGTTCGATGACAGAAATACTCCCTTTCGGCGGCGTGGTGGGGGGCATCACCGGTGACAGAAGCATTTGGTGCCCGTGGTTGGGGAGGGGGGGTGGCTGACGTGACTCGTGAGGCAGTGTGGAGCCGTAGAAGAGTGTGTAGGGTGAGCATTTGGATTCAGGGGAGGGCATTTTAGTAAAGTTAACAACATTTATCACTTGCCTAAATACTTGTGCCAAGTCAATGTGGGAAGATTGAAGAGGGACGGAGGGAGTACAAGCTAATGTTACATACATATTGAGAGATGGAGTTGTACCGTGTTTGTTTTTCTACCAATAACGAACACTAAGAATTAAGAAGAAACCTAAGGAGAAAGAACCTTCGTGAAACTCTACTTAACTACATTTTATTATTGAGTCCCTTTTCTGTTTTCTACCACACTCACCCCTTTCCTTCTTTTTAATGCACAAACACTTTTTCTTTCTCTTCAATCTTGTTATCATGTGGCGCTGTATATAATAATTGTATGCTCTTTATCTTTTACAGTTAGTCAGTTAGTAATTTTGAACAAGAAGCTCTAGAGACTCTTACTATTTTACTAGTAGTATTAAGGCCATGTTTGGGAACAGGGTTTTCGATTAGCGCTAGTGTTTTGCATAAAATTTTAATGGTGTAGATTACCTTTGAAAACTCTAACGCTAATGCCAAACGGGACCTGAGCTTCTATAGTCATGGTTGTAGTCTTGTAGATACTTCCTTTTGCATGGGTTTGATTAGCTTACTCTTCTATAAATCCTATTTGTTGTTTTGAGCTGATTATGATGCAAAACTACTAAAAGGTGTTATGCAATAACTCCAATGTGTGCTACCTCCAAATAGGTACTTGAGACTCTAAGCAAAAATTGTGGAGAGAATGTATTTCAGCAGATTGTGGAGCGGGACATTTTGCATGACATGGTGAAAGTTGTCAAGAAAAAGGTACAACTAGTTAATTTGTCCCATTGCATTATTTTGTTGTGCTTTTTATTTGATCATCTTTGATGTTATTCTCTTTTCTTTGTGTATTTCAGCCAGATTTGAATGTGAGAGAAAAGATTTTAATTTTGATAGATACATGGCAAGAAGCTCTGGGGGGGCCACAAGCAAGGTTTCCACAATACCATGCTGCCTTTAACGAGCTGAAGGTCATTTTTTACCTTTTACAATTATAAACTTATGTCTTTAACTAATGATATTTGAATGTGTCCTTCACTAATATTCTTGAGGATGTCACTATATTTTGAGCGATCTTTAACAATACTATTTGTTAATTCTAGTTTCGTACTGTGTGTAAATGTTCACACATTGAGTTATTGCTTGGGTAGTATGCGGAAAGGAACAAAAGAATGTCAGTTCAAATTCTGTGGTGGAAGAATATATGAGGGACAATGAAGGATCCTTAGTTTATTAATTGGTGGGGACTGGGGATAAAATAATTGGGAAAAGTGTTCCATTGTTTTGTTACTTTAGAATAATGAGGGAGTTACTCGTACAAATACTTAAGTGTCCATCCATGTGCAGTATAATTATGGTTGGGATATGGTAGACTCATCCTCCACAAAACCCATAGGAAGAGGATCATGTAGCCCAGAATTGTTTCTTTTAAACCCACCATCTATACTACTCATAATAATTTAGGTGAACAAGTAGAGTCTTAATCCATTACAATATTGCTTTTAAGAATATTGACTAAAATACAATACATACTAAGTCCAAGAACTAAGTCTCAATTCATACCAAGTCCAAGAACTAGCACATCTCCACCTTGTATCATTAATGATTATACCCCTCCCAGACAAGTTTGCCCTCAAGCTTGCAAGGTTATAAATGGAGTGCAAACACTCCCCACAATCAGGAGGAAATATTGAAAACCTGATAAGTTGATTCTGAGTTCTGAGTGTAGATTGGGGGAATGACAACATGTTGAGGTAATGAGCAAGTTGTTGTACAGCGGCACTGTTGTACAGTTGTAGAAGTTTGGGGTTTACTATTTGTCACACTAATTCATTGTGACACTGTCCATGTCCTCCCTTTAGCAATTAGCAGCTCAAGTGATGCAATGGGCTTCTGTGGCGCTATACCCCCCTGTAGTGGGGCAAGTTTTGTTGGCAGTGGAGTCAGTGGCAGAGGTGGAACATGTGATGGTGGTGGTGTTAGAGTTGCTGGAGGTCGTTATAGACATAGTGCGTGCATCAATGGCGTAGGCAGCAATGGTGGTGATATTTTTGTGGTGGCGTTGAAACCTTTTCGGGGAAAGTGACGGTTGGATGGAGGTAAAAATAGTGGAAGCAATGCTGCCTTCAATGGAATGGTGAAGGAATTTCATTGTGTATCATCATGTTGTGACACACCTCGTAAATATCATGTCTTAAACAAATCAAAATATTCTTATCCTAGTTGGCATCCAAACCTTTGGTTATTTGTCAGTTTTGTGGATAACTAATTGTATTATCTTTTTTGTCAGCTATTTTTGAAAAGGTGTTCAGAAAATTGCTGTTTTTGCAAATTATTGTTTGACAAAATTCATAGTACACCTAACCATAATTTACTGCATTTTAGACAATTTTACTCCCTCCATACTAAAATTTTCTTCCCTGCTCCCTGTTTTGAAATATCTTGATTTTTTTCTCATTCCCTTTTTAGGAAATATTTTCATGGTTGAGATTATTTTTATCCTTTTAAAATAAACTACAAGCACACAATTTCAATTTCTTAAATAAGGGCGTGCCAAGTCAAAATGGGAATAACATTTCAGGATGAAGAGAGTATTATTAACTAGCTTACAACTTTAATATGAGTTGAGAGTTTGAGTAAACACATTTCATCCTATTTTCAAATAAAATAATTAATTATAATATAATTATTAATTATAATATAATTTGAGAAGATAAATTTCAAATTATCTCTATTTTTTCATTATTTTCGATATAATTGAAATGTTTGTTAATATCAAATTTAGGGTACTTGGAAACTCAACAACAACAAAAGTTTACTCAAAGCATCGTTGCCAGGTGGTTGGCAGGAGGCTCGTCGATGGCCACACGAGCCACTAGCAAGGATGTGGAGGAAAAGGCGCGTAGTTCTAAGCATCTCCAAAAAACTTGATAAGCAAGTTTTTTGTAAACCACCTTTTGTGACCAAAAAGCTCTCACAATTCTTTTTTCAAGCAAACACTTACCAATCAAACTCAATTCTTTCTAGCAAACACTTACCAAACAAACACCCCCAAAAGGGTCCTTACCGAACACACCCACTAGTTTTTTGAACTCAATATGCTGCCATCAAATGTTAAATATGTTGAAGTGATTTCTTGGTGAATACACTACTCATCAACACACCATGAATGGTAGACCGAGACACATTGAGTTGGAGATCTCAATTTCTGACTTTTAAACTGATTTTACTTTCTTTTGTGTGCGCACGCGTGTCTTTTTATTTTTTCCTCCCTGAATTTTTAGCAAATCAGTTTTTTCTCCCCAGAGCAAGATGGAGAGATTCCACGGGGATTGCATTATTTGCATGGGAATAGAAGTTCCTCAAAATCAAGGAATATCAATTACTTTGGAATTTCAATTCCTTGGTGAAGTTCCTTACCAAACAATGCAGAATTTCTTCCCTTTGAATAATAGGAAAATGAATTATAATTCATCCCTAGGAAAAACCTCATTAGTGTTAAAACAATTTTTTCAACCGGATGTTGATCTGCAATATAACATTAAACTTCACCATCCCCCCCATTCAACACGACTCCTTCAAACCATGTATCAGTGTATGATTTAGGATTAGGTGATGTGACATTGGCACTGTACTGGAAGAGTGTTTTTTCACACACCCCCAACACCCCACTTTTGACGTGTTGTGTATTGGATTTGGACATGTGAGGTCACTTTATTAGAAAAGAAAAAAAAACCTTTGAAGCATTTGATTTAAAATGATGATAAAGACTAGAAATGATGGAAATCTTCTGCATCTTCAGTCTTGACTCTTGAGGATGTTATACAAAGGTTGAAACTTTGAAGTAATGAGACAATTTGGTCATATATGTTTTCTGCTTAGTTTACAACTTTTTGCTTCCTATTACAATGGAGTTAGTGAGTTATGGAATTACAAGTATTTACTTTCCAATATTATTGAAGCATTGGACCTGATTTTTGTGTTTTTATATTGTGTTGAAAGGTTTACTGTTTTTTTATGCATTCCGATTAATAATCTTTATTAACTACTCTTCAGTCTATAAATGTGTGATGCTGAAGGTTTCAGTCTGCTAATAACGTTGCTGTAGTTGTACCCTTTATATTATATTGAGTATTCAATTTCAAATGCAATGGAGAGATAATTGCTGGCTTAAGGCTTTCATAGAATCGATTAATCAAGTTAATAATTTAATACTTCATTGACTACTGGATTGAGAACCAAGCTAATCATCACAATTCACAAACTTCATTTAACACTGCATTGGGAAAACATGCACAATTTTCACTTTTGCTGTTATGGCCAATTGTCATGTTTACATGTCAGCATCATTTGAAGTAGCCTCTGTATCCTCTAGGTAGGGGTAAGGGCTGCATACACCCACCCTCCCTTGACCCCACTTGGTAGAATTCTATTGGGTATGCTGTTGTCATTATGGTAATGTGCCAATGGCAGATTGACTGTTGGTTTTAGGGGATGTCCCCTGTACTCAATCTTCTTTCATCTCTAATGTATTGAAATAATATAAAGATATGCAGTCAATGACCAGTCATCTATAAGAGCTGCACATATAATGTACCATGTGAATAGAAAAACAACTATTTTTGTGTGTTTTCTTCACTGTTGTGGCTGTTTGATAACTACTATGACCAAGTCACAATGAAGTCTAATCAGACCACCAATTGATGATTTATGTTATTTTTTTCTAATGAGGCAGGCTTTTGGTGTTGAATTTCCTCCCCGTGAGGCAAATAGCATACCTTTATTTACTCCACCGCAGACCCATCCTATTGTTCACCCTGAAGCTTCAGCTTATGAGGAAACTGCAGTCCAGCTCTCTCTTGAATCTGATCAATCTGGACTTAGGTAGTCTTTTCTTTGTGTACGAGGGAATCATTATACATGGTAGAATACCTTGCATCAAGATTTGAAATGAACACTGTTCTTCAGTATTATTCTAGAACTTGGGAGATTGCCTTGGTACCATAGCTATCTGGATTAAAAGAATTAATAATTTTGCCAAGGCCTTATAATTGATAGAACTCTCACTAGCATCCTGGTTGCTTTACCCTACTTAAACTCAGGGATTTATGCATCACAATGCATTTTTGTTAAGTTTTTATGGTATCATCACTATATTGAAAATTTGTGTAACACAATTCATTAGTAAATATGGAAGCATTGTTTTTTTTATTTTTTAATAGAGTAAATTATATAAAAGGTCCCCAGTTATAGGTCGTTTTACATATTTAGTCCCCACATATCAAATATTACTAATTTAGTCCCCAATTATTATATTCATTTCCACGAATGGTCCTTTGTTAACATTTCCGTTAAGAACGTGGATAAAATTGTATATTCATACTTCTCTCTTTCCTCAATTAAGCTTTCTTCATCTTCTCATACTCTTTCCCAAACTCGTCGCTGAGTTTGAAGCTCTTAAACCCAAAATTTAAATGATCGTTCCTCCAGTTAGACAAACAATTGAGAGAAGAGTGATGATTTTGGTTTAGGGTTCATTGCTAGAAACTCGGCGACGGGTTTGAGAAAGGAGTAAAAGGGAGGAGAAAGCTTAATTGAGGAGAGAAAGGAGTGTGAATTTATAATTTTATCCACGTTTTAATGAAAATGTTAACAAAGGACCATTCGTAGAAATAAATATAATAATTAGGGACCAAATTAGTAATATTTGATATGTAGGGACTAAATATGTAAAACGACCTATAACTGGGGACCTTTTATGGAATTTACTCTTTTTAATATCTTGATTAGTCTTCACATTTTGTTTGCTGATTTTATTGTTTCAATACACTTGCCCTTTTTTGAAATTCTAAAAAGAGATTAAAAGAAACCTACTTTGGCCCATTGTAGACTGTAGAGCTGCACATTTTTCCTCATTATTTTTTTTGAAGGACCCTCATTATTATTTAATATCCTTAAACTGGGTTTGTCCATCATATGTACTGTTTATTGAGATATTGTGCTTTTATAAAATCCAGTGTGCTGGAGATTCAAACAGCCCAGGGCTTAGCAGATGTTTTGATGGAGATGCTTAGCGCCTTGGATCCTAAGAATCCTCAGGTTAGACTATTAGAACGTTTTTCCTTTATCTATTTCATTCTTTCTCAGGAATTTGAAGTTCTTCCTTTCTTTATCTATTATTTTTGTTTGAGAAAGTATGATTCTTCTGAAAATGCATTTTGTTTTATATGAAGACGCCTTGCTCCTTTCATCTTTGTTTGGTAGCACCTATAAGAGACTGAATTCTATGTATCACAATTTTCATGAGCTACCTAAGTTTGGGGAGTCTCAGATGAAGATATTTTCATAAGCAGTCTTGTTACATCATTGAGTAGTCGTCAACTATGTGTTGGGTCACTAGAAGGGGACAGCCTGTGGTTGTGACTTGCAACTGGGTGATGTGCCGCCTTCCCGTGGGAAGTAGATCTGCCTCCGCTGCCACCAGCGCAAAGTAGATCCACCATTGCTACTGCCGGATGGAAGTAGATCTTCCGTTGTCTGTCATTGTCGCCGTCGTAGCCTCCTGATATTTGGCATTGGTCTTCTCTTTCGTTCTTTTCGATTCTCACTTCCTTTNGGGATGGGTCTGTTTGTAGAAGCGATTTTTTTTTAATTTAATTAATAAAATTAATACTCTTTCTTCTCCTCCTCTATCTATTTTCCTTTCCTTTTGGACTGTCTCTAAAGAATGTTTCTATTTACTTCTAAACTTTTGTTTTGTTTTATTTTATTATACCTGTCAAAATTGTTTTTCGACTCCCATTAGTGTTTTATTCTATTTTTTAAACTAAGTTTTGTACAGGAGTATAAGAGTATTAGGTATTTTACATAACTTCTTTTGTTCTTGTTATCTTTGCCATTAGAAGTTTTTACAATATACTCCGTATTACACTTATCGACTAGTCGATTGACTAATCGACTAGTTGACCAGTCTATTCACTGGCAACTGAACTCGACTTGTCACATAAGTGGACATGACAACCATGTGCTCAAGATCCTTTAATGCATTTGCTCAATGCTCTTTAATTCATCTTCCCCTTTTATGCTTTCAAACTAGTAGTATTAGAATGTGTTGTGTTTAAATATAACGAAATAGTGTATTGTAATTTTTTGGGCTTTAAAGTGATTGAATACTTAGATACTTGAATTTTTTTACAAGGCAGAATATTTATATGTTCGTATCACTTGACCTCTTACATTTGGCTCAATTTTCTATATTTGTTTCGACCAGGGTGTAAAAGAAGAAGTGATTGTAGACCTTGTGGAACAGTGTTGTTCTTACCAAAAGCGTGTCATGCTTCTTGTGAATAACACCCAGTAAGGGGTGGGGGAAGGAATGGGTCCGTTTGCAGATGTGTTTTTGTTTGTTGTTATTGATTAATAAAATTAATACCCATTCTTCTCCTATTTTATCTTTTTTCCTTCCCTTTTGGACCTTCTCTAATCATGTTTTTAATTACTTCCGATTTTTTGTTTTCTTTTATATTATTATACCCGAGTATTTGTCAATAAATTGTTTTTCAACACGCATTAGTGTTTTATTCTATTTTTTTTAACTAAAATTTGTACACGAATATTAGATATTTTAATTTAATGCTTTTCTTCGTGTTACCTTTGCAATTGGACGATTTTACATTATACTCCGTATTACACTTATCGACTAGTTGACCGGCTAATCGACTAGATGACCAGTCTATTTGCTGGCGACTGAACTCGACTTGTCACATAAGCTGATGCCGACAACCATGAGCTCAAAATCCTCTAATGTATTTGGTCAATGCTCTTTAATTTATTTTCTCCCTTTTATTTTTTCATACTAGCAGTATTAGAGCGTGTTGTACAACAACAACAACAACCCAGTTAAATCCCACAAGAGTAGGGTCTGGGGAGGGTGTGTGTACGCAGACCTTGCCCCTACTCGAAAGTAGAGAGGCTGTTTCCAAAGAGACCCCCGGCTCAACGTCGAAAGTTGCATTGCTTGACTAACTGCTACTTCATTAATTAAAGAAGCGCAGACAGTTTAGAGATCCATTTTGATTTATTCCATCACACCCCAAAGCCAAAAAATGGTGAAATTTTGGCTCCATCGGAGATGATGGAACGAGTATTAGAGCGTGTTGTGTTTGAATATAACAAAATAGTGTATTGTAATNGCCGACAACCATGAGCTCAAAATCCTCTAATGTATTTGGTCAATGCTCTTTAATTTATTTTCTCCCTTTTATTTTTTCATACTAGCAGTATTAGAGCGTGTTGTACAACAACAACAACAACCCAGTTAAATCCCACAAGAGTAGGGTCTGGGGAGGGTGTGTGTACGCAGACCTTGCCCCTACTCGAAAGTAGAGAGGCTGTTTCCAAAGAGACCCCCGGCTCAACGTCGAAAGTTGCATTGCTTGACTAACTGCTACTTCATTAATTAAAGAAGCGCAGACAGTTTAGAGATCCATTTTGATTTATTCCATCACACCCCAAAGCCAAAAAATGGTGAAATTTTGGCTCCATCGGAGATGATGGAACGAGTATTAGAGCGTGTTGTGTTTGAATATAACAAAATAGTGTATTGTAATGTTTTGGGTTTTACAATGATTCAATACTTAGATGTTTGAAAAACTCTATAAGGCAGAATCTTTATATGTTAGCATCACTTTGACCTCTTACATTTGGTTCAATATTCTATATTTGTTTTGATCAGGGTGTAAAAGAAGAAGTGATTGTAGACCTTGTGGAACAGTGTTGTTCTTACCAAAAGCGTGTCATGGTTCTTGTGAACAACACTCAGTAAGGATGCCATCAGCTTTATTATTATCAATATTTTTTTTTATTATATAATTTTTCATGTTTATTGTTACCTTTTAATGTGGTCACCTGTTTAAATCTAGAGATGAGGAGCTTCTTTGCAAGGGGTTGGCACTTAATGACAATTTACAACGGGTTCTCCGTCGTCATGATGATATTGCCACAGGAACCTCCTCTGCTACGTTTGCAACAAAAGAAACCCCTGTTGCACCCCTCATGAATGCGAATAATGAGGAGGAAGAGTCAGAAGATGATTTTGCTCAATTAGCCCGCAGGTATTGTTGCTCTTGAGTTTTGTACTTTGTTCTATGCTTCCATTTATTTCTTCCATCAAGGTGTTGTATAGATTAATAAAGTGTGCTTTAAGACATGGCAATCACCGGTTTGTGCTGCTCTAGAGCTGAAAGTTTAACCATAAAACAATGCAAAAATCAGATATTCAAGATTGGACAATGGTTACCTCGGCAAAGCATTGTGACGAAGTGGTTTATCCTTTCATCCCAAAATCATCTTCTCAAGTGAAAAAGGCACGGGTTTAGTAGGTAGAAAAGTGGGTTGAAAAAAGTTATTTATTGGGGAGAGGACTATTTGATAAGACATATAGATGTTTCTGTTCAAAATAGTGTTTCCTCTGGTTGCATCTGGAAGGTAGGGGTGAGAGGTTGGTAGTATCTAGTGTGTAGTTGAGAGTTGTAAATGTCTTTTCAATTGTTTAAAATCTCCAAAAAAAAGGTGTGAGAAGATTTTAGGACATCCTAATATGGCAAGTGGGAAGATGATTTTGGGACGAAAAGAGTATATTATATTCGGGCGTTAGGCACTTTACTATTTCATGAAATTCGAACCAATAAGCCTGCCCTCTAAACTGGGGGTATTATTGAAAATATACTCCATCTGCCCCGCATCAAAGTTTTAACTTTTTTTCTTCCGTCCCAAACTAAATTGTACACTTATCTCATTCCTGTTAGAGTATAAAAAACCTTTCTTGGGACACAACCACAGTCTTGGTTGAATTGGTTCATTGACATGGTATCAAAGCCTTGTTGACCAAGAGGTCACGAGTTTGAACCTCACCGCCACCTTGTTTTTTAAAATTAAAGGTTTCACGTGCAAGGTTCGAAGCAACCACGCCTGCACGTGAGGGGGCGTGTTAGAGTATAAAAAACCTTTCTTGGGCTGCAACCACAAGCTTGAGCTCTTGGTTGAATTGGTTCCTTGACAATTTCCTTTTTAGAAAAGGAATATGTGTCTCATAATACTTTTCTTTTCTAAACAAATACTCCCTCCATCCTGCAATGAAGTTTACTCATTGATTTCACAAAGTGTTGAAAAGTATAACACTATTGAATGTACCCTTATCCTATTGGGCACAGTAGTATTCGAAAGCGTAAAAGTTCAAATGCTGCATCTATTTTAGAACGCAGAAAGTATTTAGAAAGTTTACTTTCCAAGATCCTTGTAGGTTATTAATTTTAAAACCCAAATTTCACATTCTATGGTCTGTCTATCTGCAATATCAAGGGGATATGTAGAATAGTAACTTCCCTCGTCACAATTTCCCGCTGCAATTTCCAAATCCTTCAACCACAATAACCGCAGCAGCATGGTAGGTGTGCTCAAACCTTATCCCTAACTTATAAAAGTTTCAAGGATACTTCCGAAAGACTGCCCTAACACTTTCTATTATATCGTTTCTTGCTTTTTTTCATTTTTGAACCTCTTGTCACATATGATTTCTATAATATACTTGTAATATCACAGGTCTTCGAGGGATACATCACAAGTACAAGGTCGGAATCCCATTGATGTGAAAAATGCACCAGTTCGGGTCGGTAAAATTCTTCCTCCACCATCATCGAGGAACCCTCTTACTTCTACTGATGCTGGAGTGATTGATTACCTAAGTGGCGACACATATCAGTCCGAAAGAGCATCTGGGAATTCAGGATCTGCACCAACTGCTGCTGCTCCCACCAATCAAAATGATCCAATCATGCCACCACCTATCAAATCAAGTCCAAAGCTGTCTTCATCTCCCCCTTCGGATGATCTCATCAATCCCACTGCAGATGATTTCATCAACCCCACCGCAACAGATGATTTCATCAACCCCACCGCGGATGATCTCATCAATCCCACTGCATCCATGTTTGCTCCGAAATCTGACCGCAGTGGTTTAGATCCACTGCCCAAATCCACAGATCACTTGCCTCAAGCTTCTCGGAATGCTCCCCTTGCTGCCAACCTCCCACCACCACCTTCCAGATATAACCAGAGGCAACACTATTTTGAACAGCAGCATTTATATTCTGGCAGTGCTTCTGATTCCAGTAAGGGGTCGACGACCTCTTATGAAAGCTTAGTTGGGCAGGCAAAGAGTCTCTCAATTAATCCACCGAACCCAACCAAGCAAGAAAAAGAGGAGGATGTGCTCTTCAAAGATCTGGTAGACTTCGCAAAAGCCAAGTCCTCGTCAAAACCCAGCAATAGATCTTGAGCGACTATATAATGGGCATACGATAATGAATGGTACAGTTTCTGATGTTGTGAATTGTGCTTAGTATTCCGTACTATTAAAGAGCATTTGTTACGATTTGATTTGATGAAGTATTTGCATGGGTTCATTTCAGACATTTGAGTGGATTCCCCGCCAGCGTCCACATCTTCCTGGCGGTGGGAATCAAGCACCTCCTCCTGATGCTGAAAATCCGGCAAGCTCCTGCCAATGGAAATCTGGCTCAGGAAGGTATTCCACTCAGCATCAGGAGGAGATGCTTGATTGCCAGTGTCACGAAGATGTGGATGCTGGCGGGGAATCCACTCAGATGTAGAGCCTTTGCTTTGCATATTGCTATGGAATGTTATTGGTCTGTAATTAGTATCTAGCTTGTGGTTTATGAGTGTTTTCTTTGATTGGAATGTGAAAAAAAACACCGATGATATATATGGTTTAGAGTGCGTGTAAAGCGGGCAGGCTACAAGCCCTTGTACTCTATAGTTTGAGTTTTAGCGTTCAATTCACGGAAAGTCTGTGCGAAAAATGGCATTAACCAAAAATACCGGGAATGTGGAGGAATATGTTGCTGACAAAAATTACTCCTTTCACCCCACCACAAAAATATTCATTCTTTTCTCTGTCCGTCTAAAAAAAATTTGATGATGAAATAATATTTCCTGGAGTAAATTCCCAAAATAGTCCTTTGTAATAAGGGATTTTCCCAAATTAGTCCTCAGTAAGTTTTAATTACCTACATGGTCCTCTATAATTAAGATTTATTTCCAAAATAGTTCTTTGTAATAAGATATTTTTCCAAATCAGTCATCAATAAGTTTTAATTACCTAGGTGGTTCTTTATAATTGAGATTTATCCCCAAGATGGTCCTTCATAAATAATGTTACTCAAATGAGGATTAATTGATGTTATTTTTTTCTGCTAAATTTAGAATTAATTCTTAAAATAATCATTTATAATGAAATGCTTTCCCAAAATGATTTTTCTAATTAAAGATGTGTATTTGATTTGAAATTTAAAAGATTTTTTTTAAGTTTTAAATAATTCATAAATTATTTATACTCAATGTATTTTTTAAATTTTACATTTAGTTGTACAAAAATGATTGTTTCAAAAATATACTTTAAATTTGGATTATCAAAATACCAAAATATCTCCCAGTTAATTCTCATTTGAGGATTGATTTGGGAAAACACCTTTTTACAAAGGACCATTTTGAGAATTTACTCATAAATAATTTATGAATTATTTAAAACTTAAAAAATCTTTTAAATTTCAAATCAAATACACATCTTTAATTAGAAAAACCATTTTGGGAAAGCACTTCATTATAAATGATTATTTTAAGAATTAATTCTATATTTAGCAGAGAAAAAATAACCTTAATTAATCATCATTTGAGTAACATTATTTATGAAGGATCATCTTGGGAATAAATCTCAATTATAAAGGACCACCTAGGTAATTAAAACTTATTGAAGACTGATTTGGGAAAATATCTTATTACAAAGGACTATTTTGGGAATAAATCTCAATTATAGAGGACCATGTAGGTAATTAAAACTTACTGAGGACTAATCTGGGAAAATCCCTTATTACAAAAGACTATTTTGGGAATTTATTCTATTTCTTGGGTCCAAAATATATTGCACTTGGTCCGTAACATTATGTTTGGTTCAACGAATTTAAAAGGGAAATAATTTTTCGGAGGAATTTGGCTTTTCTTTCCCTAAGTATTTTTTGCCTTCTCATTTTCTTTTCATTCCATTTTTCTTTTTTTTTTCTCTAAACCAAAAAGAATGTTTTCCTTCTCATTTTATTTTTTTTCATTCTCAAATTTTTTGAACCAAACATAGCGTAAGAGAAATGTCTACATGAAAGTAGGTGTCTAAAACACATACAGTAATATGGGATCAAGATAATTAACTAATGAAGCCCACAAATCAATCATGTACAGAAGGAAATCGCAAGAGATACACAACACACTTTCATACAGTGCATGACAGATTATTAGTGGAGTAAGTTGGGGGGCCCATGAGATGTACATCTTACCAATCATAAGAAAAAATGATGAGCCCAATCTCTAAGAGCCCCTTTAGACCCGACCGAACGGATATTAAGAGAAGAGGTAAATTGGTGGCAAAGAGTGAAGCATGCACTTGGTACTTGCAGAGGTCTTATGCTTAACATAGTTGTCTCATAGCGCAATTGCCAGGAATCAAACTCAGGTCCTACCCGCTTGGCACCCTTATCTTGGCAACTGCGCAACACCCACCGGCAATCCCTAACAATAAAATGGATGTTACTTCAACGGCCAAAGAACAAAATTATCAAAGCCACTTCACTGTAGGTGTCTAACACGTTTCATAAATGATAAAAAGCTGCTATCATGCAATAACAAAAATTTCAATGGTCCATTGAAATCTTAATAATTAATAATTTAATTAATATTAGTATTAAAGGCCGGTTTGGGTCCTATGAAATTTAAAAGTTGAGAACCACACGGCCCTTTTAAGCAATGGAAGTGGCCAGGACCGCCCCGTTTTGAAAATTTAAATATTGGCCCCCGCCTTAGGCCACCCTGAACCGCGTAGTTCAGTTCTGGCGGTGATTTCAGGACCTGTTAGCTCATCTTTAATTCATACATACATAGATACATACATACATACATACATACATACATACATACATACATACATACATATATATATACATACATACATACATACATACATACATTACTACAAAAAAGACCATTTAAATCGGTTATTTTGACCCTTTTAAATCGATTTTGAACCGATGCAAATACTCAGGTTACTTTTTGCATCAGTTGTTAAAACGGATGCAAAAGCCCTCCCCAGGAATGGCGCCAATTCTGGGAAGAGACTTTTTGAATCGGTTATTACCAAAGAACCGATGCAAAAGCTCCTTCTCAGAAATGGTGCCATTTCTGGGGAGAAGTATTTGAATAGGTTATTTGGTAATAACCGATTCAAAAGCTTAGACATTTGAATCGGTTATTACCAAATAACCGATTCAAATACCCTTCTCCTGGAAGGGGCATTTGAATCAGTTATTTGGGATTAACCGATTCAAATACCTAAGCTTTTGAATCGGTTATTGCCAAATAACCGATTCAAATATATAATTTTTTCAAAAGGACTATTTTGTTTGCTCCCAATCCACTACATTTCAACTTTGCAAGAATTCTGTGGAAAATATACAGATTTAACAACAACAAGAATTCAAGCCATCAACACAACAGTAACTAACACAAATGCATTCACAAAACTCAAATGCCACAAAACAAATTAAACCAAAAAAGTAAACATTTGCATCCACCACTTGTACATCTTAAAAAATATAAGAGTAAAACAACTACGTACTCTTCTAAGTTTTAACAACACAACTAAAAGTCCTACTAATCTCTCATACATATTACGCTCTTCATCAATGACGACTTGATCAGGAGGAACATCTTGAGTGACCCCTAACTCATCTTCCATTTCAAACTCAAGATTGTGGATGTTTTGGCTATCATCATCGACTTGTTCATTATGAGTATAGCTAGAGCTGCAAGGATTTTCTAACTCTCCATGCCATTTCCATCGCAGGTATGTTGGGTCAAAACCCTTGCGATACACATGTAATCTTATATCTTTAACGCTATCAACCATAAAATGGTTGTGACATGAGTTACAAGGACAATATAGCTTTTTTCCTTCTTTTGAATGTTTCTCTGTGAAACGAATAAACTCTTCCAAACCAGAACTAAACTCAGGTGATGTACGCGACATATGAATCCAACTTCTATCCATCATATGAATTGCTAAGCAAGAAAGAAGAGCAAATGATTGATACATGCTAAACAATGCACAACAAAATTATTAACACGTACTCATTTTATATATACACACAAACATATAAGAAATGCAGGCAACACAATATTTTATTTCTTATGATGGTCCGACAGCACTTCTTCATTATCCGGCAGCACTTCTTTATTATACAAATGGTCCTTCTTTACACCATCATATCCTAACCCATTCTTGAAATGTCACTCTCACTAGTAAATGTATTTCATTTTCTTTGACCTATCAAAATTTCGGCAGCATTTCCCAATGGTTCTCCAAGTGCACGATGTAACGTAATTACATATGCACCCGAAGAACACATTTAGGAAACGTCAAACCAAAAAATGACAGAACAAAGAGAAAGAAATACACTCACTACCTAAGTGAGAGAAGCATTTCAAGAAGAGCTCCAAACTGGGAGCTATTTAAAATTTACTCCTAATGAGTAAATTTTAAACGGGTATCTAGGTCGGCCAATATATGATATTTCTATATTATAACATCTCAGATCATGTAGAATCAAACAAAAAGTAATTAAACAATCTATATTTCAAACGCAATCTATATCACAATGTCATTTCAACTTAAACATAAACACAATGCAAAAATAGTAAATTTAAAAAATACTAACCTAATGCAAAAATATATAAAAAATATTTAACCTAATGCAAAAATATATTAACCTAATGCAAAAATATATAAAAAAATATTTAACCTAATGCAAAAATATATTAACCTAATGCAAAAATATATAAAAAATATTTAACATAATGCAAAAATATATTAACCTAATGCAAAAATACTAACCTTTTGCATTAGGTTAATAGTAAATTAAATATTAACCTAATGCAAAAATATATAAAAAATAATAGTATAATTAAATTTTTAAAGTTTAAAAAATTAAAAAAAAAATACCTTAGAGAAGGCGAGGCACGGCGAGGGCGACGGCAACGGCGAGAGAGGGGGACGGCGGGAGAGGGCGACGGCTTGGAGAGGGAGACGACGAGGAGAGGGCGACGGCGGGAGAGGGCGACGGTGGCAGTTGGCAACGGGGAGAACTGGGCGATGGCGGTAGTGGAGGACGACGGCGAAGTGGAGGACGACGAGGAGTGGGAACAGCGGCGACGGCGAAGTGAAGAACGACGACTACAGAGAATGACACGACGACGGCGACGGAGCACAGAGCGAATGAGACGACGAAGGAGGGTTTTTTTCAAAATCGGGTAAGGATAATGAATGGGAGGCTAAGGACTAACGTTTAAACAACGTTTTTTGCATCGGTTAAACGTAAGAACCGATTCAAATGGTTATTTGAATCGGTTATTACGTTTAACCGATGCAAATGCTAAACATCATTTGAATCGGTTAAACGTAATAACCGATTCAAATAACCATTTGAATCGGTTATTACGTTTAACTGATGCAAATGATTACCGATACGCGAATTTTTTTTCATTTAAATCGTTTGTTTCGTGGACCGATGCAAATGTGGTGATTATTTGGTGGTTTTTGTATTAGTGATACATACATACATACATACATACATACATACATACATACATACATACGTACATACATACATACATACATACATACATACATACATACATACATACATACATACATACATACTTACTTACTTACTTACTTACTTACTTACTTACTTAACGTACTTCCTCTTCCTAAATTTAAATAGTCTGTTTTATTTTACGATGTTTGACTTAAGTTATTCTCGATATAATTTAGTTGATAATTGGAATGAATAAAATAAAATTTATATTCCAAAAGAACTACAAAAAAAATTATTGCTTAAACTAACCATAATAGAGTCCGATAAAAGTGGAGTCCAGGGAGGGTGTGTGTGGAAACCTTACCCCTACTCGAAAGTAAAAAGGTTGTTTCCAAAAGACGTCCGACTTGAGTAATACAAAAGGCAGAGAGCACAAACAAATAACTGTTACACCTAACCTGAATACTAATGTCAAATTGTTTTATCTTATTGTTACTCTCTCTTTTTTGATTGATTGTGCTTTTTGCATTCATTGCATTCATCCATATGTAAAAAATGTTGTGTATTCATTCACTTTCCCAATCAAACTAAGTACTATACATTGTGATGTAGGAGTATTATTTTTGCCACAAACACACTACTAAAACCCAATCGAAAAAGGCCAGGATAAGTATACGTACATTACGCTTAAACCACTGTTCAAAATTTCAAATACAGAGACAAATTTCAAAATTAGAAAAACTTATCTGCGTAATTTAATATTTTGGGTGTGATGTAAGTTTTATGCAAGCATAATGTACATGTAGCATTTTCTGCCCGAAAAGATGGATTTTGTACAATTATCTATTAGAATGCACCATATAAATAAATAATAGTTAGATCCTAATTACACAATATTCATCATTATAGTATTCATTCACATCCCCAATCAAACTAGGTACAATACATTGTGATGTAGGAGTATTATTTTTGCCACAAACACACTACTAAAACCCCAATCGAAAAAGGCCAGGAAAAGTACACGTACATTACGCTTAAATCACTCCCCAAAATTTGAAATACAGAGACAAATTTCAAAATCACAAAAATTTGTCTATGTAATTTAATATTTTGGTTGTGATGTAAGTTTTAAGTAAGCGTAATGTACATGTAGCATTTTCCGCCCGAAAAATGAATATTGTACAATTACCTAATGCACCATACAAATAAATAAAAAAAATGAATGCCATATATCATGATGATGACAAGATCCACATGAACACAGTTGACCACAAGGCAAGTGCAAGTGCTGCACCCAAATAAGTCCACAAGAAAAGCACTGAACATTCTTCTTGTGCTACATCAAACAGTTGTGTCATGGTTGCTGCACCCAAATACGTCCACAAGAAATTAAATTATTACTTCTTCTTTTTTTCTCAAAAAAATATATTATTACTGTACTTTTTTTTGTCACAAAATTCAATATGTCACACTCAAGTCCAAAAATATATCCAGGCAAAACTCTCTATTAGTTGGGTGGATGACCAAGAAAAACTAAAATTTCGTCTACATTCTCATTCTCTCACCATTCCTTCCAGTTTCTTCTAATTAAGACTTAAAAAATGTATTTACATATCATGACTATACAATAACATTATATATCTAAATTTATAACGTAACACCTCAAACACGGACAAAGATGAATTCTTTTTTATATTCAAAATTAGTTTCCTTATATATTTATTTGGATGATCATTTAATTGAATGATTTTTTAACACTTTATTTTTTCCAACGTTTTCTAACTTTTTCCAGTTTGTTTCCCAACTCCTTCCAGTTTCTTCAAAGTTCTTTTAGTTTCTTCCAACATCCAACTTTATAATTCCAACCGAAAACAACAGAGCCTAAGCAATGCGTACCGATATTCATGGCGGGCGGCATGGTGAATTGAATCATGAGGACAAAGTGAAATAGGGGATCGGGCGGAAGGAGGCCTAAGTGGGAGGCAGCCTTAACAATGCCAATCCCAATCAGGGGACTGAAGATATGCCGCACGCACAGAACCGCCGCAATCACTAATGGCGACACCTTCGCATTGCGCAAACCTGTGTGGATCATGCATGGTTTAGGCATTGGGGTTAGGGTTTTGTTGAATCTATCTATCACATTTTTAGGGCTTATTGGGATCATGATAATTAATTAATTTACCTTGTGTGAGGTTGCCTCCCAGGATAAGGGTGATACATGGGATAGTTGCATTCCTGCATTATTAAAAACAAAAAATCGTGTTTTTTTAACCGCCACAAGCTTGAGTTTGTGGTTGAATTGGTTCCAAAAGAACAATCCGACATTTTTTAATGAGTGGTTGCGGAAAATAAACATGTTCATTGTTGAACAAAACTATATATACATAGTACAACAACAACAACAACCCAGTTAAATCCCACAAGAGTAGGGTCTGGAGAGGGTGTGTGTACGCAGACCTTGCCCCTACTCGAAAGTAGAGAGGCTGTTTCCAAAGAGACCCCCGGCTCAACATCGAAAGTTGCAGTGTTTGACTAACTGCTACTTCATTAATTAAAGAAGCGCAGATAGTTTAGAGATCTATTTTGATTTATTCCATCACACCCCAAAGCCAAAAATGGTGAAATTTTGACTCCATCGGAGATGATGGAAAACTATATATACATAGTAATATTTCAAAATGTGCCAAAACATATAGTAATATTTCAAGAATGTGCCAACAAAGTTTGTTGCTATGAATTTGACCTTAATGGTGTGTGTGTGTATTCACTATTAATAATTTCACACATTTGCAAATTAAAAACGAGAGTGGATGAATGGTATGTACATACCCAAGTAGTTTGACAGAGTCTTGGATTACTCTAAGAGGAGCACTCTCACCAATTATTAGGTTCCTCAGCCATGTGACAGCCCCAAACAGAAATCCTAAGATCTTACCATTCACAAAACACAAAAATTATCACACGTCAATATAATTAATTACTTTGTGTACCCATCAAGGAGAAGAGAAAAATAAAACCAATTTTGTCCACAAATTTTGCGCCCACATCTCCCATCTTGTTTTTTTCACACAAACACGTACAGACCGACCCGTAAATCCATATGAGCTCGTGTCTATTTTTGAAATCTAAAAATGAGAAAGTGAGGGGGGTGGGGAATTGACTCACAGCTCCAATAGTTGGGGGTGCCATCAACTCCTCCACAATTGAGTGCAGAATCCCAATCACTTGACTCAAGAATGATGCACCATCTTGCTTCTTCAACTTGTTGTTGGCCTCTAGTGATTCATTCTGTTTGTCATTAATTACCATTTTTAACATGAGCACATTAAAAGAATCAAGAAAGATATACTCCCTTCGTTTTACAAATTAGTTCCTCACGAACTTTTTGCGCATTCAACAAAGCACTTCTATCTCACCTAAAATGTCTAAAATACCCCCCAAAACAACTTCTACTAGCAGCAAAAGAGAAATGTGGTGTATTCACAAGGATTTTAGGTGTGATAGAAGTATTTTCTGGGATGCGCAAAAAAAGTTAGTGCGAAACTGCTTTTTGAAAAGGAGGGAGTATGAGTTTATCATAAGACATAGTTGCACGAGCGCACTAATTGATTGAATCAATGAGTGTATAGTGTATTGTATGAGATAGATATGTGAAATACAATAATGGATCTTACAATTGGATTTTCGGCGTCATTTTGTGTTGATTTTATTGGTAGGACACTAATTGGAAGATGTTCTTGAGGAGCTTCATTCTCAAGGAGGAAAGACTTTTCATTTGCATCTAAGTCCTTGTTTGGTTCCTTGAATACCATAGTGGCTTCAGCTGCTAGCTGTGCTCTTAGCCTCAAAGATGAACTTCTTATCAATTGGTATGTGTAAGTCCATATGTAGAAACCTCCAAGCTGCACCAAATCAACCAAAAACCATTGGAAAGCCCGTAAACAATTCTCGCCAAAATACTCTATTTTTTTATGATAATATATAAATATGAACAGAACACGTTCTTATATATGATTCGACAGACCAGAAACTCTCTATACAATTGAGTATTTACTAAAATGCGACGACATTCTTACCGCCATTGAGTAGGAGGCATAGGACAAACCAATGGTAGAACAAGTTGATTTATCACCAAAGGGGTTTCCGTCCTCTTCACATATTGCAGGAATGATGATTAAGAGAAGATTTCCCAAATTTCCTATCATTTTTTTTCCAATAAAAAAAGGTAAATGTTACCACCATATGACATAAGAAATTATATAATTACAAGAAGTTTGATTTTATTGTAGAAATTAAAACAAGAACTATATATAATTATTGGTATATATAGCATGATGAGTATTTTAAATACCAGAGGAACATATAGCAATGATGAGGCCTTCTAAATGTGGTTTTGGTTTTAGTACCTTCACAACAATCCATCCAAAAAATCCTCCAAATAAAAAGGTTAGCCCAATACTAATGGGCATAAACCACCTGCAAATCAGATAGAAATAATTACAAAAAAAAAAGATTTTGTATAAATTTATTTTTTGAATTTTAAGACAATAATCAAATAAATTAACTTAAAAATAAATTCACTCAAACCTCATATACCAAAATGAGAAAAAAAATTCAGAAGGGAGTAATACTCTTCCCTTTGCACAAACTTTGTTATCGACTTTTCATCTCGAAACAAATTATAGTGTGAAAAAATGCATTACCAAACAACAAATTTGGCATTATTTTCATCAATGAAGGAAATGTTAATTTCTAAGATTTCTTTCGTTATTTTTCACTTATTTGTCAAATTTGAGATATTTTGAAAAAATGAAACAGGAAATCTGGACAGAACATAATTTTACCATGAAATGATGTCTTTCATTGTTATGGTTTGTGACAGGCTTGCAAACATAAGCGACGGCGTAAAAATCGAAAACACTATCTGCAATAACATAAATATACACACCAGTTGTCAGCGAACACAAATTAATACTCCCTATTTAATTCCATTTGCATACTAAATAAAGAGTACTTTTCTAAAAAAAAGAGTTTACTTTGAATAATGTAAAAATAAAAAAGTGTTTTAGTAATGTCCTCCTTTTGTATAATAAATACTGAGTACTACTCCCTTAAAAAGAGTACAATTCTTAGAAAGCACAGAATGTACATACGTAGTAGAGAAATATGTATGAGTCTTTAGGTACTATTTAGGTAGAGTTTTAAAGATAAAGTTTATCACTCCGTCCTAGAAACATAGGAGGTTTCAGTACTATTTAGGTAGAGTTTTAATGATAAAGTTTATCACTCCCTCCATCTTAAAACAATGTTTGATTTCATGAAACTTCAAAAAAAAAATTGGAAAATTAAAAACTACGTGGTAAAAATTTAATTAGAGGGGAGAGAAAAATTAAACTCCCTCCATCCCATAATTTTTTTTACTTTTCAGTTCTAGACGACCCAAAAAATACTTTATATTTATTTTATTCACTATTTTAATAATGAACAAGTGGATACGACAATTCTCTCCTCTAAATAGATTCTAACCATGTATTTTTATTTTTCTACAACTTTCTTAAATTTCATAAAATCAAAATGTAGCAAACGGAGTAAGTTTAAATAGAATGATTTTAAATAGAAAAAATGAAATGTGGAGTTTATTTTGAAATAATATAAATCCAGAATATGAAATGTATTTTGGGAGAAAGAGAGTGGATAAAAAATTAAATGTGAAGTTTATTTTGAAATATTATAAATCCAAAATATGAAATTTATTTTGGGAGAAAGAGAGTGGATGAGAGTGATAAAATGCCTTTATAAACAAAAGGTATTCTTGAGGAAGTGGGACTTCTTCTAAAGCATACAAATAAGCAAAAAGGCAACTTTTTTTGAACACTACTAACAAAAGGTATTCTTGTTTATATTTTCTTAACTTATTGAAGTTCAGAGAGTTAACACCTCCACTGAAGTTCCAATCTTTGACCACCATTTGAGAGAGTCACAGTAATATGAAGTTCCAATCTTTGACCACCATTTGAGAGAGTCATAGTAATACTGTGGGACCAAATAACGAGAACTAACATATGCGGGATATCCGGATATCTAACATTCTCTTGTTTAGGAAACTGTGTAGACTTTCTATTCGTCTGATTTTATTAATTTTGATTTGTACTTCTCTCGTCCCATATCCAAGGAAACATGAGCTAAAAATGAATGAAAAAGTAACATAGTTTGTAAAAATTAAATATTTGAAAAAGTAAGAGAGATTATGAAAAAATGATTTAAAAAATATAAAAAAAGTGATTGAAAAAATGTGGGTGTTATGTCAAAATTAAGAGCGTACCCTTTGGAGTGGGACAACCAAAAATGTGGTTATTGCCCTTTGGCACAGGATGGAGGGAATATTTTCTAGGCAAATTCTTTTGGGGACCTAAGATCCATACTCATTTTTTGGATTTTAGTACATTTGTAGCATAAAAGAAGCGAGTCTTTTGCTAAATAGGAAATATCCACATGAAAACCCACGAAAAATGTAAGAAGGTCCACATTTTTAAATGTGGACCTTGGTACTATGTAAGTATCACTCTATTTGTTAATGTCTGATTTGATTTGAAGTTAATTTTTTTATCAGATTCAAATCATTCATATTATAAAGTAAGGGAAAAATAAAAAATAGCAACAAAATTACACATTTTTAAAGGGCATCTTTTTCAAACATGAAAGGTTTTAGAAACCAAAGGGAGTATTAAAAAATATGTCAAAATTTATACAAAATATACAAATAAACAAATGTTATCGAGAGGTGAGAGAAAAATTGTAAATTTAATATCAATAAATTTATTTTTTCAAACATAATTTTGAATTATCATATATTTATATAAAAAACATATCTATGAAAAAAAATAAATATTGTGGAGTACTAACTTCGTCCCAACATGTTTGTCTAGTTTGATTTTTTTGAGTCGAATTAGACAAAGCTTAAACTTCGGTTATTCTCAACTTGTATTAAATATTAATAAAATGAAATAAAATTTTGAGAGTTCTGAATAAGATGAATCTAATTATAAATCTAATTTTGTATTAGGACTTTCTCAGTCCCAAAAAAGATTTCTTATTTTCTTTTTTGGGACATTTTGAAGAAAAGACTTTTCTTTCTTTATATGGAAAACTCGGAATAGCTCACTTTTCTTGTCTTTCCTATGTATCACTTTCAGCTATACATTTTCACTTTCTTAAAATTTTGTGTCAAGTTAAATTAAGAGCTTTTTTTAGACAGAGTGAGTATATTTTTCTAAAACTCAAATTTAATACGGAGTATTGTTTTTTGGCCTTTTCGAAGCTCAAATAGTCCAAATGTATACGGAGTATAATGGAGGTAAATTTCAGGATCGAGGGTTTTGTTTCTATGGGTCAGTATTTTGGCCTTTTTGAATGTAGGCCCAGTTTCAAATTTTTTTTGACGGCGGTCCAGTTTCAAATAACATTTAAAAAAGAAAAATGCTAGGGGTGCACCAAAGGTGTACCCAAATATCCCCACCCCTCCTTGTCCACTAAAAAAGGCAAAAAAATTCAAAAAAAAAAAAAATAAATAAATAAAAATTAAATAAAAATGTGTGGAGGAAAAGAGGGTGGTGTACATTAGGCATAAATTATAACCCAAGCATTACTCTTAAAAAAACCTTTTTACTACTCCCTCCGTCCTAAAACTTTCTTCCCAGAGCACTATTCCAACTTCACGGGAATTTATATTTATTTGTGTTTTTTCATGGCCTATATGATAAAATAAAATATTCTTGTCATCACTTGTTTTGTTGAACTTTTGATGTAGTTTTTAAATATGTATGTTTTATTTTTTATTTCTATACCAATATTTAAATAAAATAAATTGAAAAAACTTGGGATTTTTCTTCGTTTTGCGAATCGAGAAAAAAGTTTTAGGACGGAAGTAGTATTAGATAAATCTAACCCAATAATACTCCATATAGACCACTTCAATTATTGCAAACAATGAACGGACCAAATGAAAGTTTTTTCATACCCATATTCAAATAGTTATTGTGTGACACACAAATAATGGTCACACTTATATTATCGAGCAAAAATATTAAGTTTTTTTGAATTCATTTTATTTATATATTGGTATAGAAATAAAAAATAAAATTTACATATCAAGAAACTACATGAAAAGTTCTTCGAAATAAGAGGTGTCAAGAATATTTTATTTTATCAAATAATCACTGAAAACGTAGAAATAAGCAAAAGTTCTCGCGACTGCAGAAAAAGCAAATGTGACAAATGCTTTGCGATAGAGGGAGTATATGTGTGTGTGTGAAATATTGGGTGTTAATTTTTTTGTGTCAAACATAATGGGTTTCTAACATTTAAAAAAAGAGTGCCGGATCTACCGTTTATGTCATCATTTTTTGTAGATCTTTCACATAAACTATGGAGTAGTATTCATTTGAAATTTTAGATTTTAATTCAAATATTCGAAATCTCATAATTTCAAGGTTTGATGTGTACGGAGTTGGTATTAAATAGGAGAAAACCACTCTTTAATTACAAGTTTTAAATTAAAGAAAAATTGGACTTGAATTTGTAAATGACATGGAGAGGGTGTGGATTTGTACAATTACAAGTTAATTTTGAATCCAAATCTAAATCTAAACTCTTCGAGTCCCCAAACAAACAAATAATTCTGATCAAATCTGAATTTAAAATCCAAATTCAAGTTTCCAGACGCACGAGTTTGACATAAAAAAAAAAAAGAAGAAGACAAAGAGATAGGGGGGAGGAAGAGGGGAGTAAAGCCGAAAACGTACTCTGTTAAGGGATCGGCGAGCTTCGGGGGGAAGAAGCTTGAAATAATCAGTGGCCATCAAAGCTCCCAATACACTTATTATCAACACTTGAACTATTGGCATCGACGCCACTTCAAATAATCTCCAAACTCCCATCTTCTTCCTTCTTCCTTACCTTCTTCTTCTTCTTCTTCAATTCTTCCCAACAAAAATACCCAAAAATCCTCAAAGAAATTAAATTAATTCANAAAAAAAAAAAAGAAGAAGACAAAGAGATAGGGGGGAGGAAGAGGGGAGTAAAGCCGAAAACGTACTCTGTTAAGGGATCGGCGAGCTTCGGGGGGAAGAAGCTTGAAATAATCAGTGGCCATCAAAGCTCCCAATACACTTATTATCAACACTTGAACTATTGGCATCGACGCCACTTCAAATAATCTCCAAACTCCCATCTTCTTCCTTCTTCCTTACCTTCTTCTTCTTCTTCTTCAATTCTTCCCAACAAAAATACCCAAAAATCCTCAAAGAAATTAAATTAATTCACTTGGTTTTAGTAATCTCTCTATTTTTTTTGTTTTCTCTCTTCAATATAAAATATACTCCGTATATATTTGTAGGAAGAAACTGCGCAAAGATAAGGCAGCGAGCCGAGCAATAAGAAGACTGAGAAAAAGGTATACAGAGCATGAAGACGCATTGAATATATAGACCGAATTGAAATTTTGGATTTTCCTTCCACTTGAAATGATGTCTTTTTATTATTTTTTTATAATACCTTCTCAAAATAGTACACCGATAACTATGTATTTTCTTAAATTAATCTCCAAAATTAATTAATTTTCGAGATGGTACTCGTTAATTGAGAATAATACTTAATTCATTCTCTGCGAGTAACGACGTTAAAATGACGTTAAACATTATAGACTTATACTAGTTTTCCAAAATGGTATTTTCTAACCGAGTGTTTTTCAAATTAGTTCATTTTCGAAATAAAAATACATTATTCATGGAAAAATATTTTAAATTTTTAGGATGAAAATATAATACTAAAAACTGTAATTATAATTTTATAAATTTGAAACTAATCGTTTGATTATTTACAATTATTTAAAAGAATATCATGCGAAAAAAGGTTTAATAAACGGTAAAGAAATCACCTTATCGAGTACCATTTTAGAAATTTACTCTTTTTTAGTAGTATTATAATGTAGTATGTTGATACACACTTTCTCGATGTGTTAAAATGCATAGAATGAACGTCTCCATTAAAATATGAATCTAACTGATTTTCTCATCTAGAAAAATGAATGAACCCAATCTCGAAGGGTCTCTTAGAACCGATTTGATAGTCATCTAAGATGAGGTATATTGAACATTAATTACAGATGAAATATTTGCAGTAAATAGCACTAAAACTTAAGTCATTTCTCTAAATAGCACTTAGATTGTTTTGTTCCCTAAATAGTACTTAATAATGTCCATAATGACCAGTGATGGCAAACATTTACTTGAATAATGACTAATGGATAATGACTAAAAGTGCTACATTTGGAAAAAACATATGTAGTGCTATTTAGGGAAAATCATTATGTTTTAGTGCTATTTACGTAAATTTCTCGTTAGAGATTAGTGATAAAAAGTGGAATTGTACTTGATACTTGCAGAAATCCTACACTTCGTATAGATGTCTTGTAGCACAGTTGCTCAACTCGGATATTATTCTCTGGACATCCTTATTTTGCGAACTGTAGAGCACCCACCAACAGTTTCTCATCTAGAATCTCTAGGGATAGTACTCCTACCACTCAATTCAAGGAAAAGCTCGCGTCTTTATACTTTTATTATTCTTTCCCCCTAAATATAAAGTCATACTTCCTCGCCTCAAAACTGAAATAATTTTCTAGTTTTCACTTATTTAAAAAAAATAAATCAAACTTCAAGAATACTTTCCCTCTTAGAAAATATTGTAACCTATTATCCGACTCCACTAATATATTCTTCTTAAAAAAATCATTTGTGTTATAAAAGTAATTCACGAATAAGTTTGTTGTTCCCGGAAAACAAAATTTTTGTTAAAAATAAATTCAAAATCATACAAATACATGCATAAGCTAAAAGTTTATGTCAAAAATTGACATGTTTAACCAAAAAATGTACACATACTTATTTTACAAAGTAGTTCCACCTTAACTTTTTACGCATCTTACAAAACACATTTATTATTCCGTTTAAAATTTTCATGAGCGAGAGACAGATCCACCCTACAAGCAATTGGGTCACTTGCCCCAAATGAAATTTTTATTTATTTAATTTACATTATAATTACCCTAAAAGTTAATATTGCCCTTAAGGAAAAAATAAATTGCCCCTCATGAAAAGAAATGTTCATGTATAAGTATAAATTATTTAAACTTAAAATAAAAGAAATTAAATGTAAAACATATAAAATTATTTACTACTACCTCCGTTTCTCAAAAGAGTTCCTCTTTTGACTTTGGGGGAAAATAAGGAAGTGTTAAATTGTAGTTGACTTTCTAATTTTGCCCTTGATGTGATGGGTAAAAGTAAGATGTGATAGTTTAGTTGTTAGTGAAAAAGTATGATGTGATAGGTAGAGTATGAAAAAGTATGGGTAAAAGTGGTTTTTTAATAGAAAAGGGAAGTGTTTTAAGAAAAAAAAATGAAAGAGGAAGGATTTTAAGAAACGGAGGGAGTAGATTATATTTTGACAGGAAGAATGACAAGAGAAAGTAAATTAGAAGTAAGATTATAGAGAACATTTTCGAGACTTTTTCATTAATTATTTTAATATTTGATTAAGAAAATTTTTATTTATTTATCTTTTGCAATTTCACAATGATTTAAAAAGAAAGCGAGGCGCTGCCCCCGAGCCACTGTCGTGAATACACATGACTATTTCTTCTTTATTGCGGCTAGATTTTTTTAAAAAGTATTTTAGATATTTTAAGGCCAAGTTCGTTTGGGTTAAAATTTCAGACCTGGATGTTAGAAAAAATTGGAAGGAGTTGAAAAAACTGGAAAGAGTTAAAAAACAAAGGTAATTTACCTAAATAGGACTAAAACATAATGACTTTCTCAATATAGAACCATATTTTTTATTTCCCAATGTAGGAACATTGCTCGTTATCTATTAGTCATTATTGAACTAAATGTTCAGCATCACTTGGACATTATTCTTCTCACTAATCATTATTAAGTCCTATTTAGGGAATAAAAAAGTTTAAGTTCTAAATTAGAAAATGACTTATGTTTTAGTTATATTCAGTGCAAATTTTACGAAAAAGGGTAATTTACCTAAATTTGTTAAAAAGTCACTCTATTACATTATCATCCAAATAAATATGTAAGAATACTCTAATTTTGGATAAAAAAGAATTCATCAATGTGCATGTTTGAAGTGGTATATTATAAATTTAGATTTATAATATTATTGTATATTCAGCATATATAAATACCTATTTTAAGTCGTGGTTGGAAGAAACTGAAACAGAATAAACAAGAAAAAGTTGGAAGAAACTGAAAGAAGTTAAACGTTAATTTTTCCAACATAAAGGAGCAAAGTTTTAGTGGGATAAAAATATTTTTTAAGATGTGCAAAAACTCAAAACAAAAATATTTTGTAATGGAGAGGGAGTACAACAGAAAAATATCATAGAAGGACCGAAGAAATAACAATAATTTGAATGAAGACTTTGACCCACTTTGTGGCCGGCCGCCTGTATGGTAAAAGAGCTTTGCACGTACCGTCTTCCATTGGGGTGTAACTACCAATCATATCTTTTTCTACCATGCCCACAAATATCAAGGGAATTAATAAATTCTCCGGATCTGCCAGAGCCTTATTTGGAAGTATATACTTCTTTCTTTAAAACAACTGCATACTATTATTGAGTCCCTATAGTGTAAATTCACATGTATGGTGTTTGGTTGAGTTAGCGTATAGTCAAATGTATGGTGTTTGATTGGCGTATATTGGTTGGACATGTTGACTCTATTACAAGGTAGTGCATGTCATACTGATGGGTGATAACCCATTGATTAAATTCCACCCGGCAGGTTCGCAATCGATCGGGAGGAACCTAGAACCTTAATCTAAAGCCCCATGACTTGGTTAGCCCGGGTAGTATGACCGGTCAGCTAAGAGAAGATTCGAAATCAAGAACATGGCCTCGTTTGACAAAGGCATGCGTGCTGACCGGTTGGAGACTGACCAGCCAGAAGAACGTAGACGTGCTTAGTCATTAATATAAATAGGACTAAAAGCCTCATTTGTGAGGCATGCATTAATTAACCTACACGGCTTATACTCTGTAAATAGTCCCTATATCATTAATAACAAACCGGGTTACAGTTGTTCCCACCTACAGCCCTTCCGCTTATTTGTACTTAATATTTGCACGGTATTTACACCATCAAATTGGTGCCACCCGTGGGACCTCTTTCCAAAAAGCCATGACAAATAACCAAGAAACAGTCATTTCCTAGATCTCCCCCC